AACAAATTAAATAAAATACCAGCCTCATAGGTATATACATACACCACTGAAACTCGACAGTTGATAAACTGCTTGTACTCAAGAGAGGTTCAACCACCAAAAGAGGTGGTCTAGGCAAATGCAACTACTCCTAATTTAAGTCAGTGTGTAGAATGTACTAAAACTACGTTTCCACTGAAAGGGCTATACCCCGGAAAGATTGTAATGTACCAAATAAAATGTATTTCATCTCACCTTGGAATCACTGTCAAGCAACAATTGATATAACATTATAAAATTATCTAGTTTTGAATAAAAGAATAGTTAATCCGTCAATTATTGCGTGTCGAAAAAGGCGACTAACATGTAGTGCACGAGTCACCTAACGACCACCAATCTTCTTCTGATTGGGCACGACAACAGACAGCTTCAAGCCACGCTTGTTTGTCCCAAAACTGTTAGTTTTCTACCAACTGATGGTATCTCTAAAATCTGCATTAAGACTTTCTGGACTTTGGCATTCTTAGTAAAGCAGTTTAGATTGTGGATCTCCAGTGTGGATCTTTCGATCCGTCATCTACATCTTACCGAGCTCTTCCACGATCTTAGTTACCTAGTTGGTGAAACATTGCCTATCTGAGAAGCCTTCTATTCTAAGCAGAAGGTCTCCCTTCATTGTGGATTTCGCTCCCACTACACGTGTGTTGCTCCCTTTCCGGATTCATCTCTGTGCTAATTTTTCCCACAGCTATAACATAGGATCTCTATCCAGATACCTGGATAGAGAATCCCAGGTTATGTGGAAATGATCGCTCTGGTTCTGGTCGACCCACTAAAAACCACTCCCATCTTAATCTGGACTATTCTTCAACCTACGGAACTATTTTTTAGCTTCAAACTTCGTCCTATTTAGTTGCTGACGCGACTCTTCCTTGCTGCTCTTGTTCTGGTCTTATTTTCTCCTACTCCTTGGCAAAGATGAACTTCGCTTAGCATAAGAAGGAGCCGACCTATCTACTGCTTGTCAGTCTCGACCTATATGGCCATAATCAAGGCATCTATGACACCTTGTGAGCATAACTCTTCTACTAATTCTGCAGAACACTAAACCAATTTTAACGTGCCCCATTTCCTCCAGTTTGTTAGCGTCCTCTTGGCTGGTGACCACGACAGCGAGTTTTATTCCTCGCTTATTTAATACCAGAACCCTGACCTTTCTGCTTCCTGCTGGTACCGTAGATACTTTATCCAGGGCCTCTTGTTTGAAGACCCTCAAATTTTAATAAGGAGTTCTTCCTTCTTAGTGGGTCTTGATCTAACAACGCTTGTTTCACTAGCCTTTAGGTCTGCATCTTCTCGAACCTTCCACAGCACTGTGGCGAATGACGTTCCTTCAGCCACTTTGACGATCATCGTTTGTTTGCTGTTTTTTCTTGTTGGATGAACCCAGCTGTGGTGCCTTTTTGGTCCTCTTGTCATCAGTCTTTTTTTGGAGATCCTTCCTCTTTCTTCTTCTTTAAGCCATTCGGCAACTCAGGACTACTTATCTTCTGTTTCTAAGCATCTAGGACAACGATTCCTGACACGATTGCAGTACAACGGTCGCGTCCCAGCCTTCGATCATGGCGTGCTTTTTCTGACCAGTCTAATCCGTTGTAGAACTTTCTCATCTTTTTTGGTCGCTGTTCCGTGCTTCTCCTTGACATCCTGTATGAGTGAATTTAAACTCTTGTGTCCAACCTTGATTATCACATTGATATTCTTCTGGACTTCACAGGACTTCAGCATCTTGCTGACCTCTTATTACATTTTCAGAATGATCGCTACCTCTTCCTCCCGCAGCTTAATGCATTCATCTCGATCTTCGTTACAGCTATCAATGTCAATCGCAGAATCTAAAGACAGAAATGCAGCTGGCTTGACTTGTTACACTGCTCGTACTTCCTCATCTAGCTACTCTGTCCAAAACAATTCTTGGTACCACCAAAGCGTTATTGCCGTCCTGCATCCTTGGACCTCTGGCTATCGTCCTCACACCAGGCACTTGACGATCGGAACCAGTGAGGGATTTAGCCGAAGCATTACCCCGCAGGTACTCTTCCATGTTTTTACATGGGCCAGGTGAATAATACGAGTACTTATAATAAAAGTCGGCTTAATAAATTTATATTTGTCTTCATTGCAGCTTGCGATGTCAAGTTCAGATGCATTACTGAATACAGACCTGCAAATGGAGTGACTCGTCACGCTGCTTGCACTTCCTAGTCCTTCTACCCTCTCCAAGATAATTCTTGGTACTAACCATGCGTTGTTGCCCTCCTGCATCCTTGGGTCACTGGCCAAAGCATTACCCCACAGTAATTAGTAATAGTTGGGAGACATATTTATGATCAAGTTTAGAGGGAAATCAATTAACCTACTTACCTTGTCGAAGTTGACTTATTCCCTTGTGCTGCAGATAAATTAAATGATCGCTGAGAGTAATTTAATGAAGCACACAATTCAATAACATATTTTTGTTAAATATTCAGTGGCTTGATATAAACCAAAATGCAACAAATAGAATTTTTAAGTTATAAGTGGTGTACCCCCTTTCATTGAAAATAAAACTAAAAGCCTTTATAGAAATTCTACCACCTAAATATAACACAGATATTTTTTATTTACAGTGAGACAAACGATGTCAACACTGGTCTTCTTGTGGAAGTTTGGAGCAAAGGGATGCTGTGGGACAGAGCCCTTGGTTATCACTACATACCGCTGCCGGAAGTTCCTTACTCAAATGAGGTAACAAATAATGAAAACCGCAATACAATTGTCGAAAGACAAGAGGAAATACAAAAACATCAAACACAAGGACATTTACAAGTAACACAATCTTATCACGCAACTGACACATCAATCGATAACAACAGTAATTCACATCACCCGGAAATCTATGACACGGTATATCACTACAAACAAATAAATTTTAGTTCCTAACGACACTTTTTGTGTTTCTTTAGTAAAAAAACATTTATATGTCATCAGTTTACTTCGATATAATTTGTTTCGATTAATTACACTTGATTGTTTTTCTTTTAGTTATTTTTAATTTTTTTACGCTCTGAGAACTATATTTAATAATTAATTATTTATACACGGCACTTGTAAAGTTTAAGTGTCCTACTTATGGAGCCGTGCACGATAAATAAATATTTCTTTCAAAGATAAATTAAAAAGTTTTTGAGATAAAATTATTGCAATTTATATAGCGCAACGTAAAACTTTGTTTTATTATGAATGGAATTTTTCTTTCTGTACACTTTCGCGAACACAAATATTTTTATTAATATACAACTTCCATAACTCAATTAATTTTTAGAATTTGAGGAATGGGTGATTAGTTTATAAGTGGAAGTATTTAATATTTTTGCTATGCAACATCTAATGAAGGGTACACTTTTTTCCAAAAATTTTGTTCTGAAACAGAAGCAGAAGACTGTAACTATGCTCTTGAATCAAACAATCCTTATGTGTTCCAAATTTCTGATTTTTTTCGTTTCTTACTTCATACTACAATTGTTGGGTCCTAGAACCTTCAACTTTCGGCTTGCCGACTTCTCAAGCACTTCTTAACAAGGTAATCTATGTCGCGAATCTCAAGTGAGACTTTTCGACCCACCGACTGTACTCTACCCATACTTCCGAACATTTTAGTTATATCTGCGGTAAAAGCTTCCTTTTGGGAGTCACCTCCAATTTTAATCAGGTCACCCTTTTTAGTAAATTTAGCATCAACAACTCTCTTTCGGTTCACGCTAGTTTCAATTCCTTGTGGAGTTTTCTCAGAATGTCAGCGTATCTTGATCACCAATTCTGGGTCTGTATAGCGTTAACGCCTCGATTCTGGATCGATTTAATTTTTATACTTTTATAAATGGTGCGTTGTACAAAATTTTTTTTGTTTATATTAAAGTTATTCTAAGGTATAATATAAAAAAATAAATTTTTAAAAAACCTTTACGACTTTATACGAAACAGTTCCAGATAAATTTGCAAAAAAGTTCAGCTAGAAATGAAAATTCACCGGAAATTGATCTGGAAAATTTTTCTGGAAATACTGCAGGGAATACTCTGGTGGGAACACTTTTGAATTCGAGAAAAAATCCCTATAAATTATTTCACCTAGCAAAATATTTCAATTTACATCCACAGAATATGATATAAAATAAGAAATACTATTTCAAGACTCCTAAATTTAAAAACAGAGATTTAATAAACTAGACACATTTCAAGATAAAAACTAGATTATCTACAAGGAAGAAAAAATAAATCGGAAAATGTCAACCTATAATTTTTTTAATATAATTATTTAAGGCTATAATACTAGTGTGACCGAATTAGATTCGTATTTCACCTTTCTATTGTCAGCGCCGTCCATGTGCTGACCCGATATTTTCCTGATTATCACATTCACAGACTTAATCGACCGGAAATGGAGTTTGGCACTTCAGGCACCGCAGTATATTTGAGATAGGTGACATGATTTAGCACATCTGATATATGACGGAATTCATTCAACATACTACGATTATAAATATATGTGATAAAAATAAAAAAAAAAAATTTTTATGCATATATGTACACACATATCTAAAACAAGTGACAGCTATTTTTATTTTTCTTGTTTGAATAAAGTTGAGACGTAGCTTTTGCCTTTACTACGAGTCCTCAATAAACGGTGCATGCGAGCACTATACAAATAGGTATTGAAACAATAGAAAATAGGACAGTATGTTTGTAAAAGGACATAACGCTTTTCTTACTGACGTGCTAATTATACACCTCATCATGAGATAGATGTTATAAATTTTATATAAACATTTGTACCACTTTAGTAAATACTTGTTCTCTTTATAGAGAGATAATTTTTTGAATTTCAAATCTGTTCTGTATTTTGGAAATTGTGTAACCGGTAAATCGTATCAGTTAATATTTTACTCAGGAAACAAAAATAAAAATTATTAATCATACATGCATTTCTCAATAAAAAAGTTTATATAGAAAAATTATAAATATGAAATTGTTACAATTAGAATTTTTGAGAAAAATGATCTCGGAACAATTGCGATACCATAAAATAAAATATTTCGAAAGCAAAAATAATCAATTATACATATATACGTGACGTCACGGAAAAACTCATTTGATATAAACATACAAAAAACAATGTACACATACACACAATATAAAACCAAATTACATTTGTCGAAAAGATAATTAATAAAATGAAGAAGAATACTCTCACTCACAAATTAAACAATAAATAATACGGACCAATAACATAGTAAGATTTCAACATGTACATTCCTTGGCATGGCTCAAAGATTTGTGTAGTGTATAAAATTGTATATCGGCGATCCCTCAACTTGTCGTATCTCAAATTGGTTGCTTCATAGAAATAGACTCCGTGAATCTCAGTTGTTTGAATGGTGCACCACATCCAAATATGAAGCTACTCCAATATTTATAACAATGTATTGCCAGCGTCACAAAACAAAAGCATCGAAGGATCCCTTTTACAAAATCATAGTAATTTTGCCATCCAACAAACCGCCACTCTATTATAATTATAAACAAAAGATAAATTAAACAAACAACACTTAATTTATAATCAAATAATTCATTTAAAATGAATACAATCGTACCAAGAGAGTTCTCGGCGAGATACTTTGGTGGCGAAATACAAATCTATTCATTCATGCCAAACTTGGAATGACTGACCCTTAATACATCATTGCAAAGAGGCTCCCGCTCTGAGTAACCCCACTTCTTAGATATCGTACAACGCACGACACTATTCACGAATCAAATCGTGTTTGAGGAGAAATTTACAAGATTTGGGGATTCATTTCTCTTAGTGATTCGCCGTTCGTAGGAGTATGATAGATATATCCGTATATTATAAGAAAGAGTGAGAAGAAATACATTTCGCCCCATAGAAGTATTTTTTAATTGCTTCAATTGATATTAAATGAAAGTTTGTGTTTTCTTTATAAGTAAATATTATGAGAAGGAATGATTTTTCCACTGGGTTAAAAAGAGGTTAAACTAAAATTTATTTTGAACAAAATTAAAACATTTATAGACGCTCCGTTTGTGAATTAAGAAAATAAAAATAAATCAAAGCAATTTCCAGGAATGTGATAAATTTATTTCAAAGAAAGGCAAGTAACTGATCACTTATACTTGTATCCTTTTGATCAAGTATCGAATCCTTTGTCGAAAATGTATAAAATAGATTAAATCCAATACTGTACAAAGTAATCAAGATTTACACTTCAGACAAATTGCGTTGACAATGGAATCCAACATACCAACTTTGAAAGGGAATGTTCGGCTAGATTTTTCTCATTTTTGTCAATGAGGTCATCGATCTGAAGTAACCCTTATGAAAAAGAATTACTGGATGAATTACTCTTAAAATTCACTGGATGGATTATTGGATTAATTACTGGATTAATTATTGGATTAATTATTGAATTAATTTTTGGATTAATTATTGGAAAGTTACAGATTAATTACAATCTCAAAAAAAAAAATAATTTTCAAAGATATTGTAAGAAATGTTTGCTAATATGAAGGGGCATTGATCACTGACCAGTTTAATCAAAAATTTACTCTAAGTGTTATTTTATTCATTTCTGCATCACATATAGATGAAGAGTCAAATGCTTTGCATTTTTGAGTGTTGAACAAATTTTTTATATTATTATTTTTTATCTCAAAAATTAAAAAAAGCATTTTTAGTAGGTGGTTGACTGACGCAATTTGACTAACAATTTTGCTATTGTACTCCGTCTAGACTTAGCTTTATATAATTATCCCCATGATCTGGCATCTAATTATGAGACCAGCTATTAGAAGCTTCTGCCTGCTATCTGCCTCCGAGGGTCAAAGAGCCCTTTAATAATTCTATAGTTTATCTTGAAAACTATTCTTTACAACTACTTGAAATTTTCCGGAAATATTAAACTGACCACTTCTTGAAGAGAAATAAATTATCAATATTAATTTCTCTAGGGGATAACAACTAATATTGGATTGTTTATTTTACAAAAACCACAAATACTGCACACTGGTTGAGAATAATAAAAAGGGGGAATAATTAAGTTAAGTAGATAAACAGAAAGTTCATGATAGATAGTTACATAAATTTAGTATTTGTTCTCATTTGTAGTCCTTATTTAATTCCTGATGCTCTGTTTGACTTAATCAACCTCAAGTTGTAATTCTGGTTCTTCTCACTACGAAACTGAGTGCCATTTGGTAATTTCCTGAAATATTGATTTCTTTAGTAGGGATTGAAAAGATTAAAAAAATAGATATAAATATTAGTTTGTTAAAAATAAAATAAGATACATTTAAAAATTTTATAACAGAAAGAAAAATTTCAATATTGCAGAGTTCTGTTAGAAATAATTTTGTGCAAAGGACCTTTGACATTTCGGTGGAAAACAGACATATCTTGTGACATAGAGATACTATTCGATGTCTCAGTGTGAGTTGAACGAACACGATCATCTAACTTTGTTGAGTTTATGGAGGTGACACCACTATTCTTGAGCACGAAACATCCACGATATGAGGTTTTCGACTATTATGAGAGACATGATTCGGTGAAACTTGATCCAACAACAATCTTCAGAGTCACTGACGACTTCTTTTAAGTGCAGACTGACAATATTTTTCTCCTCACAATTTTCACGTTTTCTCCTTCTCTTAGCTACGAGGAGTCATCTCCCTCATCATCATAGAAATATCTCAGAAACGTATTTTCCCTCCAAGAGACATCAAACACAACGAAAGTGTAGAACCATGTTTCATGTCTCCTTTGCCAGCTGCAAATATTTGAAACCCAAAGAGTTCTTCTTTGTGCAAAAAAAAATTACAGTTTGGCAATAAAATTCACACTGCACGTCATTTTGCAACTATAACGAAAACTTTTCCCACGTAGAATTTTATTTATTTTTTTTAGAAATATTATTTTTTAAAACAAAATGGAACCATTGGATTATATATTCGTGCAGATAGCTTTTTGTCGGGTAATAATAGAACAAAACCTTTAGGAGTGTTTCCTTTTTTTATGAATTGATATCCAGGTCGTACAAATGCTACGAAAGCAATATATGTAACTGGATGATGGTATATTGCAAAAAAGAAAACCATTTACAGCAGATAAGAGAAAATTTGAATAATAATAAAGAATCTAATTTCGGAAAAATTGAAAATAAAAGAAAGAAGTATACATACATTGCAAAAAAATTGTCTTTTATTTCTTTGAGAAAATTTTTTTTTCGAGATTATTTTCTACAATATCAATTTCAATGCAGAATGAAGCTCGTTGAGTGTTTGCTTATGGTCGAACAAATCGAAATCTATTGCTGCATCAGCGAATACTGATGCTCTCACAAACTACTGCTTTAGATTAGGCCACTCAATCACTGTATCGATTCATTACCAATAGCGATCAAAATACTTAATTTCGTATAAATAAATATACATTGCGTTAGTTTCCAAAAATATCAAAATTTAATTTTCCTAATCATTCTCTACTCAATGAAAAAAAACACCGTTCAAAAAAAGAAAATGCATAAGCAGCAATTTTAATATAAAAATTTACAAGATACATTCCTCCTATTCAAAAATTTCTCTCTTCAAACCTAAAACACGGAATTTAAATCTTCTTTCTAACTATATAATCAAAAGGAAAAAACTATTTTTTGTATTAAAAATTAATTGCAGTTAACAAATAAAAATAGTGAAAAATTTCGTCTTTCTAAAAGTTTGCTTAAAGTATGTTCCAGTTATGTCTATTAGATGTTTTAAGTGAATTGAAAGCTCGCCCTGCATATATAAAAAGCAATATAACTCAGAATTCAAAGAAGAGAAAAAAAATAATACATTTCTTCTCATGAAGAAAGAATAGAGACATGCAATGCATATATGTGTCATCTCGTTACTTTCTTTCTGAAAAGCAAAAAAATAAAAGAAAAGAAACGTCTGAAAGACTGAAAACTTTTAAAATTGCTTCACTTTGTTTATTTCAAACTATTCTGCATAAATGCTTTACAATATCACATTATTCGAAACATTAAATGATTACAAGATTTTATTCAATGTGCATTAAATTTTATTGTTTTTCACAATAACAATATTTATAATGAAGAGTAAATAATATTCTCTAAATTTGAATTAGTAAAAATGTTTACTACTTTGCATTAGTGACTGAAATTTTGCTTTTGAATTAGTAAATTTTACTAATAAATAGTAATTTTTATTAATCAATTAGTAAAATTTATTAATTCAAAAGCAAAAAGTCAGTCACTAATTCCAATTAATAAACATTTTTACTAATTCTTTCATGTTTGCTTTCACTTTGATCGACTTTTGTTTTCACATTCATTTATTCTTTTCTTTTGAAAAAATTTTCTTTTTACTTTCATTTTGATAGATTTTTATTTTCACTTTGAAAATAAAAAAATTTTTAATTTAAGTTAAAATAAAAATTTATCAAAGTGAAAATGAAAATGAGAATAAAAATCTATAAAAATACAAATAAAAGTGAAAATGAAAACATATGAAAGTGAGAATGAAAGTGAATATCAAAATCTATCAAAATGAAAATAAAAGTGAAATTAAAAAAAAATGTTGTATTGCGTTTACGTAACTTTCACTCAAAAATTTTCACTTTTAAATTTCTTTAAAATTTCTTATTTTCACTAAAAATATTTCTAATTTCACCTGAAAATTTTCACTGGCAGTTAATAAATTTCCACATTCACTTCAAAATTCAAAATTTTTCAAGTGAAAGTGAAAAACAATTTTGGTCATAGTGAAAATTCTTTGAGTGATAGTGAACATTTTTTTAGTGAAAATAAAAATATTTTAATCAAAGTGAAAGTGAAAGTGAAAATGTTTTGAGTGAAAGTCAAATTTTATTTACTGAAATTGAGAATTTTTTTCATGAAAATGAAAATTATTTTAGCGAAAGTGAGAAATTTTTAGGAAAATTAATATTTTTTGAGTAAATGTGAATATTTTTTAAATGAAGTAAATATTTTTTTTAGTGATGGTAAGAATTTTCTTAAAAAATGTGAAAATTTTTTGAGTAAAAGTAAAAGTAATAAGTTTTTGAGGAAAAACAAATTTTTTTGAGTGAAACTGAGCCTTTTTGAGTGATTTTTTTAGTAAAAGTGAGAATTTTGTTAATGAAAATGAAAATTATTTTAACAAAAGTAAGAAGTTTTTAGAAAAACTAAAAAAATTTTGAGTGAAAGTGAACATTTTTTGAGTGAAAGTGAAAGTTACGTGAAAGTGAAAATGAAAGTAAAAGTAAAAGTGAAATTACATAATTGACTCCATGGGTTATTATTTTTATTTTATTATTATTATTATTATTATTATTATTATTATTATTATTATTATTATTATTATTATTATTATTATTATTATTATTATTATATTATTATTATTATTATTATTATTATTATTATTATTATTATTATTATTATTATTATTATTATTATTATTATTATTATTATTATTATTATTATTATTATTATTATTATTATTATTATTATTTAATATCTCAAAAGCGATAGAAAGGCCTCTTGAAAAACAAAGTAAAAATCAATAAAAAATATTGAATAACGTTATAGAAAATTAATTAATCATGAAAATAAATTACTGGTTGTCATTTCGACAAAATTCCTATTGTTGAAATAATTCTGATAATATATTGA